GTGTCATTTAATTTCGTCATTCGTAATTGATTTCGTCACGCGTAATTGATTTCGTCACCCGTAATTGATTTCGTCACCCGTAATTAATTTCGTCACGCGTAATTGATTTCGTCACCCGTAATTAATTTCGTAATTACGTATTACGTATTACGTATTACGTTTTTGGCAAAATAATTACCATAGCATGTATACCCGTATGTTTAATTATCATTAATTAATTCATAACACGTTAATATTTATTTAATTTTATTTAAACAAAAAAAGAAAGATACTCTGCCACCAGGGTGGTTGTGACATGGCAAATGTTTGTTTCTTGTTAAATTAAATATTTTTTTTAAATAATAAATGAATGAATTCCAAATTGTTTTTCTAGTGGCGATGCTAATACTAAATCAATAATGGATTAATTTCTTGCTGGTATTTTTAGTAGTAGGAGAGGATTTTTTTCAAAAAAAGCTTAATTAATTTTCTTTAACAACACATTTTTGGAAAAGGCTTGATTTTAATCAAGTGATTTCTTTTTCATTTTTTTTTTACTTATAAATACAACCTCTGAATGTTTTAAAAAAAATTGGGAGAGTGATCATAATCATGATCAATGATCAAAAGATTTATACAACGCAATCAATTTTGTGAAACGAAAATTTTCCTTTTCTTTCGAAAATTTCCAGAGAGAGATAGTATCGTTGCCAATTCTTTTTAAATATTACCAAAATATTGCCAATCTTTTCTAAATTGTTACAAAGTATGTTGCACTGATTTGATTGAGTTGTATTCTTTCGTTAAATCTGGATCAGAAGGATAGCAATTTTTAGCCTTGTGGGAATTCGTAATTTCAACAGTTATGAAGTAACAATAATGACAACAGTAATAATAATAATAAAAACCATACGGAAATTTGCATTGTATGCAATAAATCATATAGAACAAAAAGCAGTTTAGCCCAATATGGAAGCACAGTCATTTTGATTATCAAGAATATCCTTTAAATGATCCCCTTCTTTCCAAATAAATAGAATTTAATTTTAATATTAAAAAAAATTGTCTTTACATTATAAAAAGTTTTGGGGAAAAAATCATTTATTGTTTCATATAGTGGGGTATGACTATTACTTCATTTGATTCATTATGAGACATTAATACAATATTATACTGTATATGGATGTCAAAAGAATTTCAAAAGGTAGTATCAGTTAGTTGTTCTATAATAATTGTTAATAATTATGTATAATATATTTATTTATTTATTTATTATTAGATAAATATGATAAATAAAATAAAAATATACTACTTTGTAAA